CAATATGTCCTTGTTTCCCGCACACCCGGCAGATAGCGGAGCGGAACTTGCAGTCGGTTCTCCTGTGGCGACCTCCACAGCCGATGCACTTGAGGGGAGCTGCAGAGCTTCCTTTCTGATTCCCTTCCTTCGTGGGGTGGAGACGGTCGACTTCCTCGTCCGGATCCTCCTCGGAGTTCCCTTGGACGTCCTCTTGGTGCACGGATGCAACATCTGGACTGTTCCTGATCGGCCGCATGTTTTTGACGGCGCCGCCTGCTGCTTCTTCTGCGGTGACCTCTCTTAAGGCATCTTGGAAGGACAAGTCTTCTTTGGCGAAAAGCCTCTGTTGTAGATCTCGATGCCTTAAGCCGCACACGAATCGGTCCCTCAGTCGTTCTTCGAGGTCCTTGAACTCGCAGTGCTTGGCGGCCTTCCTCAATGCGGCGATGTATTCTTTGGCCGACTCTCCGGATCGTTGATCCCTCTGCTCGAAGGTGTGGCGCCATGCGATGACGGACATCTTGGGCTGGAAGTGCTCCTTCAATAGCTTCTTTAGATCTGCGTAGCTGACAGACTCTAATGGGACAGGTGCTGCAAGGTTCTCTGCGATTTCGAAGGCGTCTTGACTGCAGACACAAAGCAGGGTGGCAGCCTTCAAGCTCTCTTCCCTCACTTGGTTTACCTTGAGGTAATTTTCCACCCTGGCTACATAGGACTCCCACCGCTCTGAATGTGAGACGTCGAATTCCGAAAGCCTTCCGACTTTTGCCATTTTCAGGAGACGGGTCTATCAGCCAGCCTATCCCCGAATGCGCACTGGATTGGCGGGTAGCTGCCAAGTCAACGCCGTTCCGCCGCTCAGGACTCACTTGGGTAAGCTTACACCTCTTCCTTTCCAGGCGATGTAAGGCATCCTATCCTCGTCGCCAGTGTTGAGTCCTTGGCGAAAAGCAGACGCGAGAAGCAGTTGTAGTTCTCAGGTTTTCTTTTATTCTGTGTTCAGCTTACAGGTGAAGGCTTCAGCAACGCCCAAAACCTCCCAGCCTCTTATATACGCAATTCCCGGGTCAATGTGTTACTTTTCCCGCGCCAGCACCCGCGCATGCGCACAGGCGCTGGCGACAGCCTGTCTGGTCCCGGGCAGCTTTGCACCTGCCTGGGACTGCCTGCAAACGCCCCGAGCCCGTTTGCAAGGCTCGGGACATAACACTTCGGTTCCAGCTTTTCTGTTCCTGAGAATCCTTTGGTTCCAGTTTCTTCTGTTCCTGAGAATCCTTTGGTTCCAGTTTCTTCTATTTCTGAGAATCCTCTGGTTCCAGTTTCTTCTGTTCCAGAAAATCCTTTGGTTCCACTTTCTCCTAGAAGAAGGAGACTTTGTCTTGCTGAGAGTCAAGGATGCATATCAGAACTCTTGGCCTATGGGACTTGTGTACAAGGTCCTACCCAGCTCCAATGGACTAGTTCGCCAAGTTGAAGTCCAGATCGTGAAGCCACAAGAGTCGGGTTCGCGACTCACAGACTCTCGTGAAGAGGCTTTACACCAGACCAACCACCAACCTGGTCCTGTTGCTGAAGAAGACTGAACTGGAAGATTGATCCTCAAACTATGTATATTATGTTTACCTCATAATTGCATTGTCTGATGTAATGCCTTGTTTATCTCAGTTATAGTTATGCATGTTTTGTATTTACCTTACAGTTATGCATGTTTTGATGTTATATTTTGCCTGTTTTAGTTAATAGTTAGTAATGAAAATTGCATGCTTTGATGTTATGTTTTTTGCTTATTCTAGTTAGTTAATAGTGGTAATTTATATTTCCAAGCAGGGAGTGTGCTGGACTGGATTGTAGCCAGCTAGAACTGTGTTATTTCACATTTACAGGGTTAATGTTGTATCATTGAGAGAAGTGTATGTAAGAACATGTAGCATTTAAAGAGTTAAACGCTGTTTCCTTAAGAGATGGCTTCTGGGTAATGTAGTTTCAGTTGTTAGTTAATCCTATAGCTTATCTAGACAGTGGGAGGAGTTAAAAAGTTATTGCAGGACTTCCCGTTATGTGTCAGGGTTGTAAAATCCCTTTGTGTGACCAGCATGTGCACTCATGGATGGCATCTGTAACCACGCTAAGCTGATATGGAGAATTATTGCTTTTTTACCTACGAAAAATGGACAGATATGCAAAGGCTGGATGCATCTTCAGCATAGTAAGTCTTTGCTTAGAATTCCTGGACAATAAATATTTGTTTAAAACCATTTTCATTGAGTTAATACCACCTGGACCAGAACTACAAGGCTACTTAGTTCAGGTTCCGGAATAAGGACCTTGGCACTTCCACCCTGCTGAGAGAGATCCAGAGAGGTCAAGGGCTGAATGTACTCACTATCATTCAAAGGTTGTCTACTATCATGGCCAAAGATAAGCAGATCATCACTCCTTGATGATACATACACTAGTAGGAGGGAGGCAATAATATGCCAGTGTCTTTTTACTTCTGGACTCTTAGTACTATATTTAATACAATGGTAGACACCACGAGTCTACCATTTCTGGGCTAAACTGAAAACAATAGTTTCTGATTCCTGATTTTTTTTTTCTTTTGAACCAATAATCAGACTGACCCAGACTCATTGGAAACTTGGGAGTCAGTTGGGTTTTGTAGCTTTCTTCAGCAGAGATTTATTTTATAAAAGGAAAGCTTAGAATTCAATCTGCTTTATCTTTTTTCTTTTTTTTTAAGCTTCTGCCTTCTATTTATGTTCTGCCAAAACCTTGACTTTTTCTTTGCCTTTTCTGCTTGTTTGTTCCTGGCTGGGCTTCTTGAGTTTTCTCCTCTTCCCAATCTTTGCACCATCTGAGGGAAACAGCTCAAAGAACTTTTCGCTTTCCCTAGTCTAAGGGTAGGAAACAAACCCCTCTCTCCCCCCAGTTTTCTCAGCTGCTGCCTACTTTCCCATTGCCTCTTCTCTTCAGAACTGTCTTACTTTGCTTCTTTATTTCATTTCCTGGGCTTGGGCTCCATTTATTCAGCTTCTTCCTCAGAAGTTCTGTGGCAGCACAGCATCCAGGTAGCCATCTTGCCTCCTGCCTCCATCTCTTCAAGTTGCTTTTTTTGATTGGCAGTTGCAAACTGATTGGCAGTTGGATCGTCCTGGTGATGAAAGCAGACCAAATAGGGATGGGGAAGAAGGAGCAATGGAGCCTATAAGCTACTCAGGCAGTCTTTCCTTCCACATCATGATTACATGTTTGATTGAGCTCCCATCCCCAGGGCAGCTTTCATTATTTTAAAACAGGGGTCCTCAAACTTGGCCCTTTTATGACAGGTGGACTTCAACTCCCAGAATTCATCAGCCAGTATGCCTGGCTGAGGAATTCTGGGAGTTGAAGTCCACAAGTCATAAAAGGGCCAAGTTTGAAAACCCCTGTCTTAAAATACCTTGAGGGTAAATGCAAGATCTCTTAGTTAGCACAGATGATTATTCATTAATACGGCCAATAGTGTCATGCCAAAGCCTTGTCTAGCAACAATTCAAACATGTTTCCAAAGCATTTTGATAGTATGTCTGCTGTTAGTGTATCTGGATCCTTCTATGTCTGGCTGGTCCAGTGAACTCATGCCTATGACTACCTTCTGCCTCACACCCATCTACTCCAGCTTCATGTTTCCAGTTCTGTTATACTATGAATTAATTAATCCATTAAGTAGCCAACCTTCCTAAAGCATCCAACTCATCAATGATTCTGGGTGGGATACAAAGTTCCAAACAATGATGCAACATAAAAGCCAATAAATAAATAAATAAAAAGGAGGGAAATACATGTTATATCTTGTGCTTACCCAATAGTGGGTACACATTCCATCTTAGCTCAAAGTTCTTGTGAAGAAAAGCAGTGTTGACCACTCAGGTACAGATGTTGCTGCATAGAAGGGAAGTCAGTAGAATAGCACAAAACCTCAAATTGCTCTCAAAAGCCTAATATCGGTCCCAGGATCTCAGATCCAATTATCTGCAGCATAGGTTGTGAAATAATGTAGATATGGCTTTGATCATCTATTATTATAGATGCTCAGGATCCCCTGGGAATTGGAAGTCATTCCTAAAAGTCCTCTCTTTGAAAGAGAGCACGAGCCTTGGGAAGATTGATGTCAGCCTTGTGAGGAACACCAGACAGAAAACACAATGAGATGAGCTAATTCTACTTTATTAAAAAGCTACATTAACAAGATCTTGTAAGTCTGAAAGTACTTCTCCCTACCATAAATCTCCTTTCCAGCCCAAAAGCTAGGGCATGTCTCTTCTGACCCTCTGGTCCACCCACTTTCTTGCTGCAGGTTCAGCTGCCTTTTATTTGACCATTCCCTCAGTTGTGTCTTTTTGCACTGTCTTCCAAGGTCAGCCCTACATACCATTGCAATTATACTGTACATCTAATTTTGCATCTCTGAACTACAACACCCTATCCAATTTTGCTACACTGTGGAAAATGCTCTTTTCAGCAATTAATGGGGCCTCAAGCATATAGGTAGTCCTTGTTTAACTACCAGTTGCTAAACAACAATTCAAAATTATGACAGATCCTTCAAAAGTTACTTATGACCTGTCCTCAAAGTTACGACTGCCACTTTCCCCAATGATCACATGATCACATTTCGGGTACTTGACAACTGGTTCACATTTACAACCAGTTGCAGCATCCACAGTCAGTCTACAACAACTGATGGATACCAGAAAGACACAGGAAATACAAAGCCTGAAACAGGAACAGAAAACAACCCAAAAAAAAAGGCTCCAGAGGGTATAAAAACCCACTCCCTACATTTGCTCTCTCTCTTTCTTCCAGAGCCTTCTTTCTGTCTGGCTCTCCTCTTCAATAAATTGCAACCTTCTTTCTAAAGCAGTCGCCATGTTGTTTATCCCCAGCTTGGATGAATCATGATGAAGACTTTTCCTTCAATACTAGTAAATCAATGTTGTTTTGTGATATCTGCAAATAGTAGAACATGGTAGAACATCTCCCTTTAAAAGTTGCAGCGGGAAATCCTCCTTTATTTATGAATATTTTATCCATGCTGGAATCACACATTAATAAAATAACAGCAGCACATTCACAAAAGCTTCACAAAACACATTTGGCAGCACATTCACAAAAGCTTCACAAAATACATTTCAATTTTCATTTGCAAAGTGTATAAGGAGAGGAGAGAAAGTGTGGTATGAATGAATCCAGTTCAGTAAAGCGGAGCATGTATTGAACAAAATAATATGGCGGACTGAGGTATCTAATGTATAGTTTCAGGACAGGACAAAATAATAAGAGAACAGAGGCTAGAATCAATGTTGTTTTGTGGTATCTGCAGGTAGAACAACTGTGAAAAACAAAGAAAAGACAGTACCAATAGTAATAGTGCCTTGGGTGCAATTTCAAAAAATCTGAAACACCACTTGAACATTATCAGCATTGACAAAATCAGCATCAGTCAATTGCAAAAGGCAGCTTTGCCTGGAACAGCTTACATTTTATGACAAATATCTGCCCACCTCACATCCCTGGGAAGGATTCAGTAAATGGACAAAAATGCTAAATCCAGTCCAAACATCTGGCTGACTCTGCAATCAATCATCATTGTAATTTCATTGCCAATGAGAGGGACATAAGGGATCTCCTTTTGACATTCCCTCAAAATCATTGCTGAGAAATCTGAACAATTATTTGCAATCTTCTTTGGCCAACAATTTAGGCCAGCTTTGTGGGGGGGGAGATTTAGATGAGAAACTGAATGTACAGAAGAATCCATTCAAAACAATGCCTATTTATGTATTTAAATTTATATAGCTGCCCGTTTCACACTTGTGACTCTTTAGAACCATTTCTGTCTCCCATAGTCTTCTAGAAAAGCAGTAACTGAGTAAAACAAATTTATAAGAGTTTCTAAATAAATGCTCTTTTTTGAAATAATAAGCCAATAATACAAAAAAAGAACCTAGGAAATAGGGATGTTTTACAATATTATACCTTTATGAACATATATATTCTCTCATACAACAAAGACATCTTTTTTTATTAAAAAAAAAGTTTTTGGAAAGTTCCAACCTACCCAAACACAGGGACCTATTTTCCGTTAATTTATTATTGCAAAGTGAAAGTGTCCGGAAACTAGAAAGCAAAATGTAGACATTCTTAGTGTTCCTTTGGAACACAGTCTACAGAGATACTGGCAACAGGATTCAGATATAACCTTCAACTATCTCCAGCAAGGCAGGCAAGCTGTCTGTTTTTAAAATTAATTTTCTGCATGGATTTTATCAGATTGCAAGTGATTCTAAATAGCAATTGCATTCAAATGTAACTAAACAGAGTTAAGACTTATACAGCTTCTTGATACCTCTCAGGTAGTTAACACACAAAACTAGTGCTCCTTGGACTATCAGAACATAACTATTACAGCAGGGAAGAATAAATTAGCTTTCCAGAAACAGAGATAACAACATTATATGAGCTTTATAAAAGAAAGTGAAACATTTTCTCTCTGTGCTGACCACAGATTATAGCAAGATGAGGCTGTGACAACATTTATTTTTAACTAAACATTAAATCTCCGCAATATAATAGTTAGTTTTCACTGCTTATCAGGATAAGAGATTAAATATTCTTTCCCTAGCAATGAATCTTAAGAGAAAATAGCCTCTATACATTGTATTAAAAATTAAAGCATCCTAATTAGACGTTTCATTTCTATACTCATTATTTCAAGAGGAAAAGATGCATTTTATTGAAACCTTGCTAGAGATAGAAAAGTCACTTTTCCAACAGGCCCAGGTCTGATACTAATTCACTTTTCTCCACCATTGATATGACATGTGATTAAACCAAGGTTATATTTTTAAATCCATTTTTAATTTCCTAGCCAAAATTACATTTTTGCTCCACAATATTCTCATGGCATTCTTTACCTCCTCATTTCTCAAGGTGTAAATTAATGGATTGAGCATGGGAGTTATAATAGTATAGAAAACAGCCACACTTTTGTCCTCTGAGAATGTGGTTGATGGCCTCATGTAAAGAAAGATGCAGGGGCCCAAAAACAGAATCACAACTGTGATGTGAGAGCCACAGGTGGAAAGAGCCTTGAGACGGCCTTCTGAAGAACGAGTTCTGATTGTGAGTAGGATAACAATGTAAGAAACAATCAGCACAAGAAAACAACTGAGGGAAATCATGCCAGTGTTGGCAATGACAATAAGTCCAATAATGTAGGTATCAGCACAGGCTAATTTCAATAAAGGGTGAACATCACAAAAATAGTGGTCGATTTCATTAGGCCCACAGAAGGGTAGATGTGTAGTAAGGAGCGTCTGTACCATTGAGTGAACAAACCCACCCAGCCATGACATAAACACCATCCAACTGCACACCCTCTTGTTCATAATAGTGGTATAATGGAGAGGCTTGGAGATTGCGATGTATCGGTCATATGCCATCAGTGTGAGGAGAAAAATTTCAGTACAACCGAAAAAGTGAGCCCCAAAAAGCTGTGCTATGCAACCAACAAAAGAGATGGTTTTCTTCTTCACCAGGAAGTCTGCTATCAGTTTTGGAGCAGTGACAGAGGAGTAACAGATATCTATGAAGGAAAGGTAACTGAGAAAGAAATACATTGGAGAAATCAGGTGGTGACTGCTCTTGATTGTGACTATGATCAATAGATTCCCCAGCAGAATTGCCATGTAGAAGATCAAAAAGATTCCAAAGCAGACTTTCTGTAACTCTTGATCCTGAGTAAGCCCCAGCAAGATGAATTCAGATACATTATTTTGCTTTTCCATATTCTCAAAGCTGGATAACGCATTACAGCATATGATTTAAAATTAGGAACACTGTCGATTAAAGGTTTAGGGTTTTTGTGTTTTGGGGTTTTTTTTACAAAAAATATATACACACCAAACACAGATTGAAAAAAATCTTGAATTGGATGTTCTCAACTTCTGAATCCTTCACATGCAAGGAATGTTCATCCTAAAATTTAATGAAGATAAACAGTTGTCAGAAATTAATATGTATTCAGCAAATCAGGGAAGTCACTTTAGGAAATACTGAAGCACAGCAATATCTTAGGACATTGGAGAAATGTTTCTTGGGGAAAAAAGGTTTGCAATTATACAAAGTGATTTGTAAAGTCAAAAGAGAAATTTGTAAAACCATATGTTTAAAAATCTCAAATCCATTTTTTCAATGTTTATTCAAACAATTGTGGTTTCATTCAGTCATACAACCAACCCTGTCAAAAATCATCTCATTTCATAGATAACAAAGAATAATTTTTTCAGCCTCTGTTGCAGAGAATTTAGTTGTAATATACAGTACTGCTAAATGGGAAGGCTCTTGAATATTGGAATGCCATCTCTTGCTGCCCTTTTTGTTCTTTCCAACTGGACTAAGTCTGAATAATTAAGATTGCAATTTGGTGCCCACTGGCTTAAATGAAGCAGTAAGGCATACTGTGACTAGGATGTAAACATTTAGACAAGCATTAAATGGCATTAAAGTTGTTACTAGCTAGCAATCATCTGGCTTTCTATAAATACAATCCTATGTCTTTGTAAGGCAGTGGAAGTTTAAATGTTGGCATACATGCAGTTAGGCTCTTCAACTTAAATGAACTTGTTCTACTACTATAAAATCAAACTCCAATTATTGTCTAATCAGTTAAACAAACAGAGCTCAGATGGGAACACAAACAGCATTTATGTTATAGATGGCATAAGAATATCAAAAACTATAAAAATGTTATATATAACTAGTGTGTTTTCAAAGTATTGAAAATTGGTTAACAGCATAATCTGAATGCAACACATTAAAAAAGATACCAATAATCTCCATTATTACCTGATTGGTTGAGCTAACTCTAGTCTACAGGATCTTCCAGCTCTACCAAAGATACCCTCACCCTTATTCTCTCTCTCTTGAGCAACCAGAAGAGTTTCCATGAAGCTCTTCAATAAATAGGGTTTTGAACACTTTGCAATTCTGCCTATCTACATCATTCCCAATTCTGTCAGCCACAGTATCCTTTCTTCAGCTGCCCACTGTATAAGAAAACCCCAACTGAAACCAAAGCTATATCCTCTTTCTCTCTCTCCACCGTAAAGAGTTGCTTTTACAGGTTATTTCTCTTGCCTTATTAAGAACTATGAAATGACATGTTTAAATGGGTTCTGCCATTACATCACTGATCCAGGTAACAACCTCCCGGAAGTATTTCAGTCTTTCCCTATAGAAAATAAATGCTCAACTATGAACTTTTTAACATACAACTCAATCGAATTTATTTTGCAGTAGTTAATTAGCATCCATTTGAAGTGAAGTCTTATAGCAGTCTTTTTCAACCTCCAGATATACAGTATATGTAAGACCATAATGTCCATCATTATCTGAAGAGTACCAAAATTGGGAAAGGCTTAATCTTTATTGAGAAATAATGACTTTTAGATATTAAATCATGCTGCTAACCTAAGAATTAAAAGCCAAGCACTATGTGGATGAGATAATTATCCAGTTTTATATAGGCAAAATTGTGCCTGAACTATCATGGCCAACATTTGTGGCAGTACTTTTGTCCTCATAACAATGTGTCTTTAAACATTGCTGCATGCGGTGGAATTGACCCCATAGAAAACTAGCTCTAACACATCTTCTGACCAAAATGTAAAAACCTGGTCTATACAAGTGTTAATGGAAATGTGCAAAAATATGTACCTGGGAAAAAACACACAAAATAGTTAAATGAGATGGAGCAAGAAGGTGGAGGAATACTGGAATTGGATGGGAATAATGCCAGGAATCAGCTGTCACATTATCTAAAACTCTACTCCCACAATCTTTAATCTTGCAGAGTCACAACACAATCCAATTTTAAGGATTCACCCATACCTCTAATCCATGTCCTTGCAAAAAACAAAAACAAATACAGAACTTTTCCCTTTCGCTAGTCTAAGGGTAGGAAACAAACCCCTCTCTCTACCCAGTTTTCCTCAGCTGCTGCCTACTTTCTCATTGCTTCTTCTCTTCAGAACTGTCTTACGTTGCTTCTTTATTGGGCTTGGGCTCCATTTAGTCAGCCTCTTCCTCATAAATTCTGTGGCAGCACAGCATCCAGGCAACCATCCTGCCTCTTGTCTGCATCTCTTCAAGCTGCTTTTTGATTGGCAGTTGCAGATTGATTGGCAATTGGATCATCCTGGTGATGAAAGCAGACCAAAAAGGGATGGGGAAGAAGGAGCAATGGTGCCTATGAGCTACTCAGTCTTTCCTTCCACATCATGATTACATGTTTCATTGAGCTCCCACCCCCAGGGCAGTTTCCATTATCTTAAAACAGGGGTCTTCAAACTTGAACCTTTTATGACTGGTGGACTTCAACTCCCAGAATTCATCAGCCAGCGTGCCTGGCTGAGGAATTCTGGGAGTTGAAGTCCACGAGTCATAAAAGGGCCAAGTTTGAAGACCCCTGTCTTAAAATATCTTGAGGGTAAATGCAAGATCTCTTAGCCACCACAGATGAATTATTCATTAATACAGCCAATAGTGTCAAGCCAAAGCCTTGCCTAGCAACAATTCAAACATGTTTCCAAAACATTTTGATAGCATGTCTGTTGTTAGTGTATATGGATCCTTCTATGTCTGGCTGGTCCAGTGAACTCAGGCCTATGACTACTCTCTGCCTCACACCCATTTACTCCAAGTGCATGCTTCCAGTCCTGTGATAACCGTGAATTAATTAATCCATTAAGTAGCCAACCTTCCTAAAGCATCCAAATCATCAATGATTCTGGATGGGATACAAAGTTCCAAACAATAGTGCAACGTAAAAGCCAATAAATAAATGTCACAAAAATGAGGGAAATATATGTTATACCTTGTGCTTACCCAATAGTGGGTACACATTCCATCTTAGCTCAAAGTTCTTGTGAAGGAAAGCAGTGTTGAGCAGCTCAGGCACAGATGTTGCTGCATAGCAGGGAGGTCAGCAGAATAGCACAAAATCTCAAATTACTCTCAAAAGCCTAATATCAGTCCCAGGATCTCAGATCCAGTTATCTGCAGCATAGGTTGTGAAATAATGTAGACATGGCTTTGATCATCTATTGCTACAGATGCTCGGTGGAAGTCATTCCAAAAAGTCCTCTCTTTGAAAGAGACCATGAGACTTGGAAGATTGATGTCAGTCTTATGAGGAACACCAGACAGAAAACACAATGAGATGAGCTAATTCTACTTTATTGAAAAGCTACATTAACAAGATCTAGTAAGTACTTCTCTACCCTCATCCCCTTTCCAGCCCAAAAGCTAGGGCAGGTCTCTTCTGACCCTCTGATTCACCCATTCTTGCTGCAGGCTCAGCTGCCTTTTATTTGACCATTCCCTCAGTTGTGTCTTTTTGCCCTGTCTTCCAAGGTCAGCCCTACATATCATTGCAACTATACCATTTTGGCCTGTCCTCAAAGTTACGACTGCCACTTTCCCCAATGATCACATGATCACATTTCGGGTACTTGGCGATTGGTTCACATTTACAACCAGTTGCAACATGCACAGTCAGTCTACGACAACTGGCAGTGTTCACATTGCTGTGCCACTTCACCACAGCCCCCCCCCCAATCGCAGGAGACTCACTATAGGCTTTAATCTTCAGCTGGCCCTCTGCCGGCACTCCTCCCCCATCCCATGGTCCCATGCAATTTACTGAGGGACACTTGTCCCCAGGTGATTCACTGCATGGGACAATTAGCTGTGCCTCCTAGTGGCAGAGTGGGGCGGGCAGTGGCTTCAGGCACCAGGCCAGGATGCGGAGACATGGTGGTTGCAGTATGGGGCAACCAGCTGCATGGTACCTCCACCCAAGGGCCCTTTGAAGCAGCAAAGAGGGATGGGAAGTAGGACAGTTTCCTCCCTCCAATCCAGACCTCCTGGACTCCCTTACCCTTCACAGGATGGAGAGTGGAGGGGCTGCCTTATCCCTGCCTGTACCTGACGCACACCCCACCCCCAGGCAGAGCACTGCAGCAGCAGCAGCCCAGCCAGCAGTCACTTTCGCCACAGCCTGGCTGCGTTTGTAGCTGTGAGAAGAACTCTATAGTCAAATGAGGATTTAGTTCTATATCTCTCCATTGTGCCACACTCTTTCATACTGACTTGTGGTGGGCTTTTTAACAGTTGTATCCCAAACTATCATTTGGGTCAGGATGGAAATTGAATTAAGCAACCTGATGGACTTCTGCTTTTCAGAGATGCCAAGTAGATTTTCAGCTAAGGTGCTTCCAGTCCTTTCCCTAGTGCAGGAGTGGGGAACCTTGGCTTTTTTATGACTTGTGGACTTCAACTCCCAGAATTCTTGAGCCAGCATCTCATTTAGTAAGAGAATTCAAGTTCACAGAAACACTATGGTATTATCTGCACACAAAACTGCAACCTCATTCATCCTCCTTATTCACATCCCCAGTCAGATACCTCTAACATAACCATAAGCATTTCTTATAAATGCATCCATAAACACATTGAAAACTAAGGGACATTATACCTCCTTGTCTTGCTCAGTGTTGAACTATTTGATATATTTGATTTATTCCTATAAATGTCTTATATCCCTCATATACTGCTCTTATCAAATTCAGAACCATCCTTTAGCTCCATATTAATACCAAACATTCCCTAATTCAAGACTAGCCACGTTATTAAATGCTTTCTCTAAATCAACTAATTTACAATAAACTTTCATTCTTACACTTGTGCATTGCTCAGTGAATATTTCTTACTGATTTTCAGGTGTGGGAGAAGGAGATGAATAAGATATTCATTCCCCAAAGCAAAAAATGTATTCAAAATTCTGCCTCTGCTCTTAACTATGACATTTTATATGATTATCTTGCTAAATATAGTATGTGTGGCTTCTGGCTGCCAAAATATTGCCTACCACTTCAGTAAGCAGAGGTATTTTTCAAAGGAAGTATACAAAGAATTCTTATAGTCTAATAAATGCTTAAATAAGTTTCCAACATATATGTAGATTACACTGAACAAACAGGGTTAGGAGAGACATGTTACAGATTTTCATCACTAATATTAACTATGTCTGAAAAGTTCATAATAAGTAGGCTTATTTTGTTATTCTAATATCTGTAAAGCAAATCTTTCTGTATTCTGTTGTGTTCTTGGTTCATGTGCAATTGATGAAGACGCATGGTGACAAGTAACAAATGCTTTATTCTCTTTCTCCTACACCCAAGCAAAAAAGCAAAAGGCACGCAGGCCTTTTATGGGGCCAGAAGCCCAGACAGTGTTAACCAATAGGAATTTAACATTTTTGCGCCTTGCACATGCGCACAAGGCTGGCGCCACTCTGTCTGGTCCCTGGCAGCTTTTGGAATGCCCAGGACCAATTGCAACATTCTGAGGCTGCTTTCAGTTCTTGCAGGCTCAGGACACAACACCCCTCCCCGCTAGATGGAACACACCTAGCTTATGCACAGGTGCATTGTGCAATGCAGGGAAAGTGGTATACAGATGCATTATCCAAATGCAAGGAGGGTGGAAATGCTTGGGTCTGTATGCATGCAAACCTCTTTCAAAAATAATTGTTAACTCAATTAAAATATACCCAAATCAAAATAGCATATGACACTCTTACTAAATGTTAATCCCCTCATTCGGGGACCTCATAGCGAGGTTCCTCATGGGTTGACAACAACCTCACAAAATCTGCTGGATGTTTAGGTGGGCACTTGGCCCGCTGCAGCCTTCTAAGGGCCAGTGAGGTTGCCTGGCCTACCTGCTCGCCTACCAGGCAGGCAGGCCAGGGCATTGATGCCCTAAGTATCCAGGTGACCCTGGTAAGGGTGCCTGGCCTACCTGCTCGCCTACCAAGCTAGGCAGGCCAGGGCTTTGATGCCCCAAATACCCAGTTGACCCACCCAGCTGCTGACTGGCTGGACCCTCTGAGTCCAAACCATTATACCTCAGAGGGGTGGAAGTCCCCGAGTCCACAATGGACTCCTCTTGGGAACACTGTCCCTCGAGCCCAAAGCCAGCAGATGGAGAGGCCTGAGTGGCGGAAGTGCCCCAGTACTCCGAGCACGTGCCAGAGGTGCCAGAGTCAGGAGCCGCCTCCATGGCAAACCCCCTTGCTAC